GTTATTGTAGAAGCAAAAGTTAAGTCTTGGTATGCTCAAAAGTTTGTTCGTGTTTTGGTCATGATGGGGAAATTCTCTTTTTATTCAAAATGTCATGGAAGAGGATAATCTGATTATTTCAGGGACCTGGTTCACAAAATGAGTGATTTGTAGACCGCTGATGTTCAGAATACTTGAATACAGTCTGATTTGATGAATAGTACATCAGATTGTGTATCTTTAATAATAGTGAACATGTTCATTCATTCACCAAGTGTTTATGAAGTTCTACTAAGTGCAGCTCACTGTTCTGTTGGCTGGAGGTCTAGACGGCAGTGAGTACAGCTGGCTTGGTATTTGCCTCATGGAGGTTACTATTCTCTCCATCACCCTGTTATCTTGGATCTCAGAGGTGTCAGAAAAGGGGTGAGTAAATAGTGTTGTCTTCTCAAAAATGAAAACTTGATTTTTCTCCTGCTAACTCTCCATTTTCATCTTTAGCACAAAAATTGAATGCTTAAAGACTTCTGTTTATTGGAACTTTCTGGTTTGAATAAAAGGCATTTGGTATTTGTCTGACTGCATAACTCTAATTTCAAACAAAGTGAATATTAAGTTAAAAGCCAGAACGAATGGCTTTCCAAACCAGTTTTAAAAGCAAATACAATTAGAATAATCCTTTTCCTATGACACCTATTCTCTGGAGAAATAATCTGTAGTTATGTGATATTGATGTCAGCAGCATCTCTTTGTAACCCATTTGCTTATGTAGATTGAATTGCTGTATTTCTGAGTTTAACTGTATTTTAAAATTACTATGCTTTGGCCAATCTGGGTGGGATACACTCCCAGATCTATTCAGGATCTTCATTCTGACTTGGGAGTCTGCAGGAGGTCCACTCCCTCTGATATTATTAGCATTCAATTTCTCTCTTTATTTTGGGGAGCTTTTGCATACATATTCATAGTGGTGTTTATTTTTATAAAGAGCAACTATGAAGCAGGTAAGATTTCTTTGTTTTTTGTTTTTGTTTTTTGGTACGAGGATCGAACTCAGGTCCCTCCGCTTGCGAGGTAGGCGGTGGAACCACTGAGCTAAATCCCTGGCTCCAGATAAGATTTCTTTAACCCTGCCCCTAGAGTGTCAGCAGCTTCCAAAATCTCTAACATAACAGATGGACAATAACAGTAGAGGCTGGTGTAGGTAAGTGCACACATGGGCTTTGACTGGCAGACCCCATGTAAGGAGCAAGCCTTAGACACAGAGGTGACATGGGCTCAAGTCCCTCTTATCACCTTACCTCCTTGGAAAAGGGATACTTACCTACTCTGACACCTGACAGGAAGGTCAAGTGGTGTATTAGACTTGAAAGTGCTTTGTAAGCTGAAATTATACAGATAGCTTTCTCTTTGTATAGGAATAACTATGGGGGTCAGTCCCTGGAAAAGAGCATCACATGGATGCTTCAGGGAGGACATTGTGCCTTTTCCAAGAAGCCTCTTCCTTTGGAAATGCGTAGAGTGGTAGTGATGTTTCTGAGGTGGTTTCCCTCTGGTATTGGCAACATAATTCATTACTTTTGTGCCTGTTAACCGGCTGTGTTTTATTAAGGAGAGTTTCTTTTTGATCACATTATTTTCGGTCTGTTACATTTTACTTGATGATTTATAGAGCATGTAAGTGTATCTGAATGAACCTGCTTTGTGCAAGTCTTATGTACTTCATATTATTTTAATACTTTAGAATAATGGCAAATCTTGGTTCACCTTGCAAACCAGATTTTTTAATAAATGTTGTTCTTAGTATGTGTGAATATTTTCGGTTTTATAGAATGCTCTAACATATGGAAGTATTTGAAGAGAAGAAGCATCCATCTCTGGGGTGGTTGCTATCTTACTAATTCTATGCTAAAACTCTTCTATTAAGGAATCAGGGTGTGAACTTGGGTGTACTGAAAACAGAACCACAACCTCACAGACAAAGAAGGCATGGCATCCCTACCCAGCACATGTACCAGGCGTTGATGGCCACGGTGATCACTTTATCCCTGGTATCAGGTCCTTCAATTCACACTGTCTGGTACACACGTCTGTGCTTAGTTTTGGGTTTTTGAAAGAATATTACTGACCTTGGAATATATGAAAAAAACCAAAGCAGTGAGCCCGTTGAAAGGGCTAGTAAGAAAAGGCACATGCTGATAAGAAAAAAATTTAAGATAAGTTTTAAAAAGTAAGTGGTGAGAAAAAATTTTTTGTGCATATGTGAGATGAGTCATTCAATTGAAGGAATAGTTCTGAGGGACAGAGTAACTGGGACAACATGTTTAAAGTGTTGTGCCCATGCAGTTGACATTATGTGGTAAGAGACAAGATGGGGGGGAACATTTGACAAAACAGAAAACCCTTTTGAATAGATGGCTTAGAAGACTCCTATCAAATGCCTGTCCCCCTGGTGCTAATTCAGGAAAAAACTAAGAGTTTGTTTAGAGTTCAAAGGCTGAGCGCAAGGAAGATGCTGCTGACAAAATCTTGGTCCAAGACTCCACTTGTTTGATGGGTATGCTAGTCCACTTTCATCACCACAGAACCCTGAGACAGTCAGTTTACACAGAGAAAATGTTTATTTTGGCTCACAGATTTGGAGGTTTCAGTCCACAAGTGGCTGGTTTCATTGTTTTGGGCCTTCGGTGAGGCAGCACTCATGGTGGGAGCACATGGCAGTGCGGAGCCACTCAACTCATGGCCAGGAGACAAAGAGACACAGAAGAAGGGGCTGGGATCTGACAGTCCCCTTCAAGAGCATGCACCTAACGAATTACAGACCTCTCACTAGGCCTTACTTCTATCTCCTGATAGTGGCACGGGCCTTTGGGAACATTTAGGATCCAAACTGTAGCAACAGCTCCAGGTTCTTCTCGTTCTGAGTACAGCTAGCATCTGTGGAGCTCTTACCTACAGAATGTGAGGACGTGTCAAGGGAGGATGGTTACCGCCACCGAGACCAGTGGTCCTTGTAACCATCCCCATGGGCCTTGGATCAGTGAGGAGAAGAGAGTGAGCCTGTTTCCACAGCTCACATTTCTTATTTTAGAAATGCCTTCAAAGATTCTCAGTTATCGTGGATTTTGAATGGACTTGTACAAAACCTGTTGGAACACTTCTAACTTGCTCATAATTAAAGGAACTGGTTATGGTACTGTTCTTTGTTAGATGAAAAGTGTGCTTTCACAGTATTACAATGAGAAAAGAGTGAAGGGAGGAGATGGTACGTAGTGATGGGGTAACCTCTGGACTTACTGCTTTGCCAAGTAATAAGCAGACGAAAGCTTTCGATCCACGCCTCATTTTCTCATCACTTCAATGTCCACAGAGTGGAAAAAGCATAAACTCTGGCCCAAAGCAGGTATGTGGTCCTGAGCAGACTACACAACTCCTCTGAGTCTCGGGTTCTTCATCTGAGAATTGGGCATTGTGTTGCCCACCCACCAGAGATGTTGCCTGAAGTAAAAATAACTTAATAAATCATTAATACAGCACCTGGCCATAATAGGTCTTTAGTGATAGTAGCCATTCATTAAAGTAGAATTAATTGAATCACCTGTGATGAGTAAAAATAGCTAAGAAGAGAGCTCAGGACATGCTACTAAAATTTATCGTGGCCAATTTCATCAGCTAAACTTTTGAAACAGAAAGACCCATTTTGTGTAATGGACAACACCCAATATAATTTTTCTCTTCTAACGTGCAGGAAGGGTGTTCTGGCTCAGGGGGGATCAGCTCCACACAGTTGTTCATGGCCTCAGGTTTTGGTGACCCCAAGGTCCTTTGCGATAACGTGGCTGTCACCATTGCGACTCAAGGAGGGGGAAAGGGCCAGGAGGAGTGTGTGAGGAGGGTTAAGGGCCTGGATAGAAATGGCGAATGCAGTTATCACATGCGTTGTGTTGAGCTAGTGTATTCGCCTGAACACACCTCACTGCCAGGGCAGCAGTGTCTCTGGGTAGCCCTGTGCCCAGTGGCTGTGAAAAGGGCATTACTGCAAGAGCTGGCAGTCTCTGCCACACTGATTTCCACGCAGCATAGTAGTGACCCCACAACACCCTCCGGAGTCCTCACTGAATATTGCTACTGACCTTTTGCTGATAATTTGTTAACGATTTCTGATCTGTGCCAAAATTTAAGACAGAGTCCTCAGTTACAAGGCATATAAATCATGGTGATGTGTGTGTGGGGGGGCGATATGAGGCTGTTACAGGGCACGTGGCCACCTATGCTGGGACTTAGTTCAGGCCTGTGCTCAGGCGAGGGACGAGGTGATGAGAGCTTGGGTGACTGAGCAGGTCTCCAGAGCTATCTGTTGTGATCCTGCCAGCCTGGTCACAATGCCAGAGAGGCCAGTGCTTGCCAGGGAGGAATGACTCTAGGGGATCCAGGAAATGGATCTGGGAAGTTCCCTCCTGGGAAACCCACCTGCAGCAGGGTACACCTAGCTACTGAGTAACAAGGGCAGAGAGAGAGCAGGGCTGTGACCCAGGCAGGGCTCTCAGGCACTAAGTGGGTGTCCGGGGCATATCTGCAGTCCTGGAGGGAGGCCCAGTGTTATGTAGCTAAATGCTGGAGACTGAGGTGTTGCTCTTTTCTGAGCAAACACAGGGTATACAGAGATCAAGCAAGAGGGGAATTTAACCTAGGAGGTAATGTTGGTGTCTAGGAGACACTGCAAGGCCTCCGGGGGCAGATAGGAGTCAGACACGCCGAACTCTCGGACCCCGGCTCTTCGGCGGTGCTCCGTTTCTGTGCCCTGCTACATGAGGTCGCCGAGGCTTCTCCTGCCTGCTCCTCAGGTCAGGTTTGGCTCAGGAATTCAAGGGCCACTAGGAAGGGAAATGTTGGTGTCTACAGCTGTGATGGTGGGGGACAACAATAGTGAATGTTGAAACTAGGAAAGCATTGACAGATTAGCTTCTGAAATGGCATCGCAGCTCTAAATGCTACAAAAATGTGTTTCATTTAATTTTTAGTCACCCTCCAGTCCTTCAAGAAATGTTCAACAAATGTTGGCAGATTCTATCAATTGTATGAAGGCTTATGGATTTCACCAGGTAAAAGACTTAAATTCTGTCTTCAGGGGGCTAAACGCACAGCCATTTCCACTAATGTGCTGCAAATTAGTTAATTAGTCTCATGCAGAAATGAAATGAAGCGGCAGAATGTGAAATCTGTCTCAAAAGCTGCAAACGCAGCTATTTATCATTACCCATTTAGCTGGAGTTGGGAACTTCTTGGATGTCGTGGAGAGAACAGATGCCAGAACTGAGCTTGGAACGCCTCACTCGGAAGCTAAGGCAGAGGCGAGATCCTGAGCTGCCGCAGATGTGGAGGGAAGGCTGATTTCAGAGTGATAAATGGCAGGCTCGGCTTGGCAGCCACCGGGAATTCAGTGAAGTCACTCGTGTGCCCGTTGTTTCCGTGCACCTGACCCTTGAGGGAGCAGCGTCTGGGCTGTCCATGTCCACTAAGCCAGAGCTCCTGCAGGCACTCAGTCACTTCCCTGTGCATCCAGATGGGACATTCTCCCGGCAGGCCCAGCCCCTCCCCACCGTGCTGCGTTGTCATCAGATCATACACTGCTCAAGGCAAATGAGACATAGACTGGCACTTGGGAACTGCAGTTGGATTCGACCCACAGAAAGTCTGGACAAGTAGGATAAGAAGGTTCTAAACACCCCAGTCCTGAGACTGGGCTGTGGAGGGGCCCACCCAGTCCTGCGGCCTCCATGACTGATTCCCTGATTTCTCCACAGAGATGTGTGGGGACTGAGATAGATTGCAGTTTTGAGACTTAAAGAAATTATGATGAAATTTTGGAATCCTGTGCCCTATATGCATAACAGTGAGCCCTCTATCCAAGAGTTCCATGTCTGGGGATTCAACCAATTGCAGATCCGAAATGTTTGAAAACAACATTGCATGTGTACTGAACATCTACAGACTTTTCTGGTCATTATTTCCTAAACAGGACAGTATAATAAGATGGATGTGGTGGCTCAGGGCTGTAATCCCAGCACTTCAGGAGGTTGAAGCAGGAGGATGCAAGTTCAAGCTCAGCATGGCAATGCTGGAGACCCTAATATAATAAATATTTATAGCATTTACAATGTATTAGGTGTTACAAAAGATGATTAGAGTACGTGGGAGGCTGTACATTTATGTAAGGGGCCTGAGTATACAGACATTTTGATATTTTCAAGGGTCCTGGAACCAGTCCCTTGTGGGCACCAACAGCTGTACGGACCTTTTCTAAAACAACAGCAATAAAAGATCTAAAGGAAATTTTCAGCAGCACTGCCCAGGTTGCATTATATCACCTTAAATGATGACAGTTGAGAAAGCCAATCCATGTTCTCATTCAAAATTGAGTGCCATTTGTGCTAGGCACTGATGTGGAAATGGGAGACACATTTTTGGCACAGCTTAGATAAAATTTCTGACCTCAGGAAGCTTGTTTTCTGAGTAGGGGAGACAAGTACTAAATCTGTGGAGTCAGTTGATCCTAAGCGCAGTTGGCGAAACCAAAACAGGATGCAGGGGCTGAGGGAGGCTGGAGGATGGGAAGGGTGTTTGAGAGGGGGTCCCAGAGGCTGTTCGAGAAGGAGACACTGGCGCAGAGAAGGAAGGGCCCAGGGAACAGCAGGCTCTTGAGGCGGAGCGTGCCTCGTGGTGTTAGGAAGTGCTGGATAACTGGAGAGAATGAAGGAGCAGAGCATTCCCCAGGCTTCTCTAGAACCCAGGTAATGAAATAGTTTCCTGCTCTAGAGATTGAATAACTAAAGAGGTCAGTGCCAGATCTCAGCGGCTGTTACTCTGCGAAGCTCATTAATGTTGTCTCCTTCCCCATTGTGCCCTGTAATTATGCTGCAGATTTGAAGTAGGAGCAGATGTACTAAACACAGTACCCTCAGGCATCAGCTGTGTGCTTCCTGAATGATTGTGCACTTACCATTCCTCCTCCATCGTTCTCACTTCTTGCTTATCCTTTTTAAAATTCTTGCTTAACCTAAGCCACAGTATCCATAATGATTCTAGTTTGAGGTTATAACTCTGCTTCCTAGTCCCTTAAAAATAAATACATATGCATGTGGGAGATGAACAGAGCTTCACTTTTAAGTTCTTTCTGTTTAAGCTTGGAAATTGCTAGCAGCACTTTTATGTATTTCAGACTTGTAAACAGCTTCCATGAGGGATGGCAAATTTTAAGAGTCATCTCAGACAACAAAAGTGTTCTCTGGTTTTCATCATGCACTGTATTGGCAAACAGAGGCACCTCACTCTAGGCAAGAAAACAATGTAAGAAAAAATAGATGCACAAAAGTTTAGTTACATCTGAAGTACAAATTTATGAATCACAACTACATTCACTGTGGTTTATGACTTCCGATGGTGATCAAAAACAAGTTTTACAACATCAAGCTGTAGATTTTAGTTGTGGTGAAATAATTTCACCTTTATCTTTCTGCAGGAAAATACAGAAAAATAAATCCTGTCCCTTGTGAAGAAGGACATAAGGCCAGGCTTTGCTGGCCCGCTCAGCCTGCTTTATTTCTTAGCTAACCAAGGCTTTTATTGATTCACCAACTTGTAAATTCAGTTTTGTTATGAATACTCAGAAGGCTATATCCAGATTTTAAAAAAAAATTTTTTTTAGGTCTAAGTGATTTGATGTGTTCATTTCTCTTCAGGATAAAGTGAATCCCCTTGATTGCACTTAACGCCCCAGAGCAGTGTACTTAAAAATGGTAAAGTTAGTAAATTTTGTTGTGTATATTTTACTACAGTTAAAGAAAAGAATTCCCTTTTAAAAGAAACACTCACATTTATTATTCTGTATTTTTCCTTTTAAAGGGTTATTTTTGAAAAATATTTTTCTGGTTGGTTTTGAACAAAAAATACTTTTTGAACCATGTGAGAGTGTGTGTAATGTAACATTTTGGGACGCATGGTTCCACAGCATGTGGAGACCTGGCTGAGATGGCTCTGGGAATGGCCAGTCTTTCTGGGGAACGGTCAGCCACTGCAGAGTGGTGTTCACACGGGCACCGTGAAATGGAGGGTGTACTTCAGGGAAGGATATTTGGACTATTCATTGAGCTCTTACTATGTGTTATCCTCTGTGCCTTGCATTTTCTAAAATTCATCTCTCACTATATCTCTACCAAATAGTCTTCCTCATTTTACTTAGGGGGAAACAGCCTGCAAGAGGTGCAGTGAGGTCCCTGGAGGAATGCAGACAGGTAGCAGCAGTACCAGCTTCCGGTATTGTGGACGTCAGCTGCCTCCCCAGTGGCCCAGAGTTTAATGAAGGTTGGGTTTGTGTAGCACCCTCATCCTGGCAGGAAACTATTGGATTTGCTCACCAGTGGTTGTTTATGTTCTTTTTTTTTAACAGAAGAAAGAATCTGTGAAGGTAAAACAAGATGAAGAAGTAAAACAAATAGATGACGAGAAAACGAAGCAGATTTATCAGAGCTGGAAGGAAGATTCAGAGTGGCAGGCATCTTGTAAGTACCCAGGGGCTTCAGTGGCATCTTTGAGCCTCTCAGCTGAATCTTTTACAAAATAAAATGATTCATCTAGGACGCACTGAGAGCGAGTCATCAAGTAATGTCTTAACACTGAATTGTACTTGAATGTTCTTACCAATGGATTACTAAAATGTTTATGAGCTCCTTTTGACTAGCAGAATGGTTCCTAATTCATCTTTGTACCACCAGAATGATGATATATCTAGGTAACGGAATGGTATCTAGCTATGAAAAACATGCTTTGGAAGAGTTCTTAATGACTTGGGAATATACCTTTATATCTTTATCTTGGAGAAGTAAAACATTTAAAAACAGCATAAAAAAAATCACTACTTTTGAAAGCCTAAGTTATGAAGGGAAAGAACTGAAAGATTATTAACATTAATTTTCGTAGAGAAGTGGGATTTAAGATCATTGATTTAATGGCCAATAATTACATGAAAACACGTTCAACATTGCTGGTTATTCAAGAAACGCAAATTAAAACAACACTACGATTCCATCTCACTCCAGAAAGAATGGCTGTCTTCAAGAAATCAACCAGTTACAAATACTAGAGAGGGGCCGGGAATTTAGCTCAGTGGTTCCAGCGCCTGCCTCGCAAGCACAAGGTCCTGAGTTCCATCCCCAGTACAAAAAAAAAAAAAAGAAACAAATACTAGAGAGGTTGCATGGAAAAAGGAACCCTTGTTCTTCGTTGGTGGGAGTGTAAGCTGGTACGACCACTATGGGAATCAGTATGGAAATTCCTCAAAAAAAGTAAAAATAGAAATTCTGTTTGACCCAGCTATTCCCCTTCTAGATATCTTCCTGAAAGAGTTAGAAGCATCCTATTACAGTACTACATACATACCCATGTTTATAGCAACACATTTCATAATAGCTAAATCTTAGAAGCAGCCTCTATGTTCATCAACAGATGAACAAATAAAGAAAATGTGATGTTTATACATGACAGAGTGCTACTCTACCATAAAGAAGGTTGAATTTGCGTTATTTGTAGGAAAATAGATGCACCTTGAGACCACAATGTTAGGTGAAGTAAATCAGACACATAAGCTTAACTATCCCATGGTTTCTCTTATATGAGAAACTCAACATATAAATAAAGTGCAAAATAAAAAATAGATAATAGGGCTGGGGATTTAGCTCAGTGCCACTGTGCCTGAGTTTGATCCCTGGTACACACACACACACACACACACACACACACACACACACACACACACAAAATAGGGAGATAGATTTTTCTCAGACGGGAAGGAGATCAAGGGATCAAGAGATCTGGAGGGATGGAGAAGGGAAGGGGATGACAGAAGAATTAAGATGTGATATGTACATGTGCCAATCCCTATGAGGAATGTAATCATTATATACTGCAAACATGTACTAATAAAAATTACAAATACTATTTGAATTTTTACTTCTCATTCTTCTGGTTTGAGTTTCCCCCCCTAAATTTTCAACAGTGAATACATTCTTTAGAAGTTTTATTTTATTCTTAATCCACACATACTCATTGTTCTGATGAGGTATAGCATGATGTTTGGGTACATACAACTTTGTGATGTGAAGAACATAGGGATAATAAGCTGGATGTATATGTTCCACTAGTGCCTCTGACCCAGAGACCCCTTGCTAAGGTGGCATTGCCAAAGATAAACCCCATAGGAGAATAAGCCAATGCCAATGAGGGCTGAGCACAGGACACTTCAGAGAGCTAGAATTCAGGTTTCAGAAAGGATTAGGGTATCATGGACAGAGAAGTCTAAACTTTCCTTGAGGCAGGTCAATCAAGAGACCAGAAGTGGTAGTATTTGTAGGATATTGAAAATCTTAAATTGGTTTCCAGTCTCGTTACAACAAATGCCATTAAAATATTTTGGGGGAAACAAAAATATTTGCAAGATCCAATCAGTGACCATCTGTGCTATCCACTGAAATCCAGTATAAGGGGATATTTTTGCTATCTCTTTGAAGTCAAATTTAACAGAATTTGACCAGTAATGTCTGCAGTATAAGTACACTCAGTAAAAATTATTTTCCATTCTAAATTAGTCTTTAACACTATGTGGCTAAAACAGCCCCAAATCCCCTGTGTATTACAAAGTGATACTAAAAGGCAGCCTTGCAGTGTACTTTATCGGCACTGAGATGTTCTACAATGATCTAGAACATACTTAAGGTTAAGCACCCCTTTATTTTTTCTCATGTGGCCAATTCACATGTGTTTCAGCTCACAGCAAGCCTGGCTGCTCTCTGCCCTGTCCCCAGCCACATGGCACAGAGTGGTCCTGCCTGCCAGGTTTCTGCTAGGGCCTCAGGGCCATTGCACCCTGAACACGAGTGTGTGAGGGATGTGGCCCTGGCCTCTCTTTATTCCTTGCCCCTGTTTCTTTGAATCCTTGCTCAACTGGGGCTCCAGGAAATTCTTGCCCTTTCCTCTGCCTCTCAAAACCCCCAACTCCCAAATGAAGAGAGGAATTCTTCAGGGACTCTTGGGTGAGCCCTAAGATCTGGATAATAGGCATCGAGATAGTGACTGTTCATTAATATAAACATGCGATGGTCTCTGCAGCGCCTGCTCCATGCTCTCTTGTGCATTCCCGAGTCTCCCCGTCTCTGTAGGCTGATGAAGGCCTTTCTCAAACCTGTCGTTGTTCTAGTGCGGAAATCCAAAGCAGCTGATGAGAAGAGACGCTCCTTGGCTAAGCAGGCCCGGGAAGACTACAAGAGGCTGTCCCAGAGAGGAAGGAGTGGCGAGGGGCTGCAGAGCCCCAGTGGCCCACAGAAGCCCAGGAGACCTCCCCTCCCACCCAAGCCCCAGTTCCTGAGCCCAGGGGGCTGCCCTCCTCCAAAGCTGCTCGGGTAAGAAGCCACGTGATGGCTTTGTGCAGAGCTTGAGATGTGCCGATTAAAGACCAGTGTGCCAGGAGACCAGCGGACCAGCCAGCTGCTCATGTCTTTATCCTCACCACTGACCCTCTCTGGGAGTGCTGGTGTGGCCTTCACCCCCTTACCTGTGAAATATCTACAATATAATAATAACAATAATGATAATAATAGTAATCATACTATATTGCCAATAATATGGTGAAAATGAGCATCCAGTTAGATGACTTCCTGTGCCCCTCACCCTCCCAGTGGCAGCAGGCGGGCCAGTGAGGGGCAAAGGGGACACTGGGTTTCTTAAACCGTCAAGATGCTCTTCATATAAAAGAATAAACAGAGCCCTAAGGGCTTGCTGACTTCCACCTGACATCACTAGGACATTTCCTTGCTGAAAAGTCAAGGTCTGATGACTGTCCTTATACTGAGAAATGCAGCCAGGTTCAGATTTTGAGAATTTGGAAATTCTCTATTTTCTGACCATGGTACCTTTACCTCCTAGATTGTAGGGGCATTAGGAAAACAATTTTGGGGGGCAAACTTTTGAAGAAAAGTACGATAGTATAGCAGAAACCACCTACCCTTCATGTCTACTGATTATGAAGTTCTTTTTTTTCCTGGATACTGATACAGTATTTTTAGATAATTTAATTGTTATTTATTTAAGGGTGCTGGGAATTGAACCCAGGGCCTTACACATGCTAGGAAAGTGTTCTACCACTGTACTACACTCCCAACCCTAATATTTAGAGAGAAAATATCTCAAATCAGTTATTGATTGAATGATCCTGAATTTCCACAGCCTTGCTTTCTGAAATGAAAACTAAAAATACTTCTTTGTCAGGTGCATGGTGAAATGAAAAACAAGCAAAAATCTCCCTTTGCTTGGAGCCAATAGTTATTTTTAAGCTTCTTTCTTTCTTAATGGGGATTATGACCTCAGAGGAGACATGAAGGTGGACCTTTACCTCTACTGTAATTTTTTCTACTTAGTCTACTGAAAGGTTCTATTTTGAGACATAAGCACCAATTCTAAATGACCATGTTCTACAAAGTGACAATCTGGGGAATGATTTTTTTTCCTTGTGGAGGATAAAACAAGAAAGACAGGAAGAGTGTGTCCCCTTAGTCCCAGGCCACACAGCTACATGGACCTCCTGTTTCACAGGGGCTCATCTGTGTGCCCGCTGGCCACAGAGCCTGGCCCAGGGCTGTCGGTGGAGCTGCCCACTGTTCCCCAGAGTCTCAGGTAGTGTGGGAATGCGACTTGCCACATGTCCCTGTGCTACAGTGGTTTTAGAGCAGAGTGTATTTGATTGAATGGCAATGAAGTGGTCTATAAAAAAAGGAGCACTTCTCATAAGCTATGCTCGACTCATCTTTTCCAACTTCAGACACTGTCTGAAGTGCTCTTTGTGTGTCAGGCTGGATGGGCTTAGGCCAGGCCCCTACAAACCATGATGGCCAAGGACCCAGGAGCCAGCCCCGGAGTGGACAGAGACCGGCTCTCCCATGTCTTTGGTGCTTTGCTCTGCCTTCAAGGATTTTCTGGAGAAAATGAATCTCATTTGGAAGCTATTTTATGAAAATGTATCATACAATTTCATGTATATCCAGTGGCTACTTCTTGGGGAAGTCAAATATTATAGGATATTTTCTCCAAAATTCTCTGGAAATCATGAGATAATATCTACATGTCCATGTGTCTATCCGGCCTTCGTGTCACATGGAACTGATGCTAGTGTGTATTACTACAAAAAGCATAAAGAGCCTCAAGTTAACTTATATTACAGGAAATTCCAATTGCTTGGCCAAACATTTTGCCATTGTTGTTTTTAAATTGAATTTGGCTCAGTGGGCTATTATGTAGGACTTGGAAATATGTTTACTACATTGTAACTTTGCTTTTTGTAGTGGAATCCACTCACATTCCAGATCTTGAGCTCTGCTACTGAATTTATTCAAAATGATTACGTTTCTTACTTTTTCTTCCTAATCCTCAAGCAGTCTTCTTCCTCATACTTTATCTTTCTGAGACTATATTTTAGCAGAACTAAATCTCTTCAAAGTGTGGGAGAGAAAGCAATTTGGGAAGGTTAGTGGAAACAGAAAAAGAGGAGAAAATCAAGTAACAAAAATGTTAGGGAAGAAATTTGTCTTAACACATGTGATTTGTTTGCAAGTGTATACACTGCAGGAAAATACTTTTGGGGGTATTTTCCAAAGTTTTAATGGTTCTGTTTAATTGGGAGTTAATGGACCTTCTAATTCCTATTAAAAATGAATTTAAATATTATGTGTTAACACAGCAGTGGCTCATACCTAAGACTAACCATTTAGGACTGGAAGCCAAGTGACAGATTAATGTTCTTCCCTCTGTCTGCTTTAAGGAGTTGTATAATGGTGGTTTGTAGGGGGTCCGAGGTCCCATTAGCTCGGGCCATGGAATTAGATGTTGGAATGGATATAATACTCGCTTGTTCTGTCTCAGTGTTTCTCTCCATCTCTTTCTGTCTCCATCCTTGTTTCTCTCTCTCTCTGTCTTACACACACACACATACACACATTTGTCCCTCCATATCTGCAATGAATTCTTAACAGGGCCCCCAAATGTATCAAAATCTGAAGTCTCAAATTCCTTATATACAGTGGCATAGCATATACCATGTATACATCCTCCTGTATACTTTAAATCATCTCTAGACTACTTGTACTGCCTAATACATTGTAAATGCTATCTAAGTATTTATATTATATTGTTTAGGGAGTAAATGACAAGGAAAAATGTCTGTACGTGTTCACTACAAACACAATTCCTTTCTTTTGGATATTTTTGATGGTCTGTTGAATCCAAGGATGCAGAACCCAGTATACAGAGGGCTGACAATATATAATGTGTGTGTGTATGTGTGTGTGTGTGTGTGTGTGTGTGTGTGTACATATACTTAACTCTGATCTGGAAACTGTCTTACACATAACAGAAATCAGGGAGTGACGAGGGCGGTGTCTAGCTCTGCCCAGGAGGACATCATCCAATGGTTCAAGGAGGAGCAGCTTCCCTTCCGAGCTGGCTACGAGAGGACCTCAGACACCATTGCGCCCTGGTTCCATGGTGAGTGAGGAGATCTCCTCAGAGAGTGGCCGAAAGGCTGCTAATCCACCAGGACGGCAGGGAGAAAAAAAGCTTCCTTTTATTTGTGCTGTGCAAAAAAGAGTCAAATTATGTTCACAAAGCAGTTTTGCAGAGGTTTTCAGGGAGCCGCCTTCTCAGGACTGTTTAGAAAGCAGTGGAGATTCATAGTCACCGCATGTGCCAAGGGCTAATTCATCACCACAAACACAACCCTCAGGGCAGGTGGGAACCACCGGGCTTCGTGCTGACTCACAGAGGGCATTTGATCATGATGCCAGCACACAGCAACCTTCCTTCCGCCCAGATAGCAGCTGTGGCTGTTGGATGTGGTAGGGGAGGGAGTTGGTAGGCAAGAGGTCAGGCTCCCACCTAGCCCTCCATTCGGCAGTTGCATGACCGTGAGCAAACTATTTTCTTTCTCTGTAGCAGATCAACTTATTTGAGCTTCATTTTCCTCATCTTTTCATTGAAGGAATTGAACTTTGTGATCTTTAATTGAAAACTCCCTGGCTTTGATTCCTTGTTTCTGGTATGTAGCTAAGGCTGCAAGGTGGATTTATGGGATTTAGAATAGGTAACAGCTAATAAATCATTTCTGTATTTAACCCAAGAGACTTGATTAATTGAAGCTCTTTCTATGCAGCTCATACTTCACCATCCTTCACTTTCTTAGATTTCAAGAAAAGTTGATGCCTTCCCAAAGCTCTCAGTTGGCTTCTGTAAGGTCTGTGGCTGGGGTTAAAGTTTAAAGTGTAGCTGAGTGCTGGAGCACTTACCTAGCATGCACAAGGCCCTGGGGTTCACTGCCTACCACCACAGGCCTGCAAAAAAAAATCTAGGGTTCAATCGGACCAACTGTCTAAATATACACCAAAAGATGCTTTAATTTTTTTAAAATATTGATGTTCCCCCTCTAAGCACACTTCTCCTGGGGTACCTTGGTCTGAATTATCTTTAAGGCATTTCTCATTCAAGTAGCATTATTGCTTATGTAAATAGACCATAAGAAATCAGCTCCCAAATACATAGCATGCAAACTCTTTTGGCAAGAACAAAATTATTTCTGATAGCATTTCTCCTAAAAGGCTGCTTCTGCAGCCAGAAGGTTATGGGAGAATGGTCTGGAATCCCTTGAAAATATGTATTTTTCAGCGAGCTGACTTTGGTCATTGTCCGTTCCTGGAAGAGGCCCCTCCACTCCCAGGGTTTGTGTCACAGCCTCCTTTCTTTCTGATCTGCTTGGAAGACATTGTTGTCAAAGATAGGCAGAAAGAACCCTGGCCAGTGACCTGGGTGTTTGCTGTTGCTGTCTCTGCTGTCTGATGGCGCCTCTTCTCCTTTTAAGATAAACACTGAGGAAATCAAGCACTTTGTCACTTCTGTGTTGTTGGGCAGAGGATGCTGTCATCTTTGATTACAACAGTGGGAGTTGTTTGTAATGTCAGCGAATAAAAAATTGTAAGTGTTCATTGATGTTATTAAAAAACTCTCGTACTTGAACTGGCATTTCTATTACAAACAGTTGCTGAAAGAGAGGAAATCACAGTTGGGCTAAAAGTCCAGTTGGAACTGCAGTTCAAAAATATAAACTGTGGAGTTTTACATATAATAACCTATAAAATGTGCCATTGTTATTGATTTATTCTCATTTATACAAATTTTTTTCATAGTTATGAGCAAAATAAATATTATGATAATAAGTGAATGCACAAGTCAATATAAACCCTTATCTTCAGTTTTTAGAAAGCAGAATTGTATGTTTCCATGATAAAGAGATGATGGGTCATACTTCATCTATATGAAATACAGTTGTTTACTGATCAGGAAGCCTGTCTTGTGCCATTGGTGTGGTGGCTCCTTACTGGTTCACAATCTTTTTGTCCTTGTCATTTACTTTGTGAAATAAACCTCTAAAGATGCTGTTTTGCTCACCTTAATCTTCACTCCTCAAAAATTTGTACTTTCATCTTTTTCTCTTCCTTAAGTTTTAATTGAGGATGGGATTGGGTAAGAGGGGGAGGGAAATGAAGACTGCTGAATTTGTGGCTTTTGTGGCTGGGTGGAAGGTGGCCGTGCTATCCATGGAGAGAAAGAACATAGGAGGAAAGGAGAGTTGGGAAGGGGAGAAGAGAAGAGAGGAGGACGGACCGTTTGTGGTATGATGGTGTGTAATATGTTTGGGGCACTCAAGTGAAAGTATCATTCGGTAATCGGATGAATGGATCAGTGCTGAAGATAATAAATTGGAGTCACTAGCATGTAATTAAAAACATGGGAGAGAATGCGATGTTCTAGGCATGAGTTAGGAAGAATGAGAGGAGAGGAGGGCCGAGGACGAACCATGGGGAGCACGAACTGAGGGGCCTGCACAGGTGCCGTGAGGACCCGCAGCAGACACCCCTGATCTTGGCCCGAGGCCTCCTTTATCACTTAGGGTCCTGGTGTGTAGCTCCTAAGTGTCCTTGAGGATGCCTACCCTGTGATTAGTGAAATAATGGTCTTGTCTCTGGATTCCTAGATGTAAAATTTTGATGAAAATCTCAAGGCCAAGAGATCCTGAAATGAAGGTGCTGAACTCTACTTCCTGTGATATAGATACACAAAGTCTCCCCACATCTACTCCTCCATCAGCAAGAATTTAAACTTTCTCCATTCACTAGAAGCATTCATAGAAGCACTGGGTCTCAGATTTCACTGGACTTTTGGTCCCACAAGGGCACTTGGGCAAGAACCTTGTGATAGCCTGTTTTCTGTTGCCATAACAAAATACCTTAGGTTGAGTAATTGATGAAGAAAAGAGGTTTATTCTGCACTTAGTTCTGGAGGTTCAAGGGCATGGATTTGCATCTGCTGAGCTTCTGGTGCCCTGTTCATGGAGGAGAAGAGGAAGGGAGATGGCAGTGTGCAGAAGGGCCAAACATGTGGGCGGCCTTCCTTTAGAACCCACTCTTGCAAGAACTAACTCATTCTTGTGAGTGCAAGGACTCACTGCGCAGTCTCAGGGAAGAGGCGTAGAACTCTCATTTTATCTTGAAGTACCGGAGATTGAAGTCAGGGCCTTTGGATTGAGCTACTTCCATCCCCATCCTTTTCTTGTTTTTTGAGACAGGATCTTGCCAAGTTGCTAAGCTGCCCAGGCTGGGCTCGAACTTGCCGCCCTCCTGCCTCTGCCTCCTACAGTGCTGAGATTATAGGCATGTGCCACCACACCAGGTGACTGATCCCTCTTAATGACTTAATTTTCTCTGGGAGGCCCCAGCTGGCACTGAGGACTGAAGCCTCAGCATGAGTTTTGCTGGGGACAAACCTCATTCAGAGGGTTGCAGATCCCCCATTGAGCTCTCAAGCTCCTTGTCACTTTTGTTAATTTTCCACAGGGATAAAGCACAGTGCTAGCTTTCACTTGGGTTGATTCTGTATTAGGAAGCAGAAGGAATGAAGCTGACTGGCTGGCCGTCTGGAGGCTGCCTCCCATGTTCCTGGAGGGCTGGGCACTGATCCGGCCCTGTGCGCTGGGTCCTCTGTCCAGATGGGCAGTCTCGCCCTGCTCTGTGTGGCCACAGAACTGTGGACATAGACGCCCCAACAGGGGCGGTGGGGGGCCTTCCGAAGGAACTGTGTAGTTGGTGTTTTTCTAATTTCTCGATATTTTAAAATATGGTAATTTTACCTAATCTGGATGTTCCACACTCGCGGTTTGGAGGACTGTGGAGTACCCTGCCTCGCGGAGGCCCTTCCATGGGACAAGCTCTGGGTGGCACCGTGTCATGGATAACAGGGTGCGTGGTGTCGGTCTCTCTTCCGGCCTCCTCTCTCACCCTGACTGCTCTCCAGCTTTCCACTGCTGCCCTCCATCCTCCACACCATCAAACTGAACTGCTCCCCAGGGCCCTCTGATGCCTCCTTGACCTGCATCTGTCTCCTGCTTCCAGCCACCAAACCATCTCTCCCACCCCGTTCATGGTTCCCTCTACTCCCTGCCTCCTGTCTGTTCCCCCAAACACTGCACTTGTTCCTATCGTAGGGCTTGGCTGTTGTTCTTCTAAATGTTTCTGTAGCCGATTTCTTAAGAAACTGGCTCATGTGACTATGTCAAGTCCAAAAGCTAATGAGATAGGGCAGCCTAGAGAAGCAGAGAATGGTGCTTTGACCCAAAGACCATCTGAGGCAGAATTGTTCTTACTCAGAGAAGGTCAGCTTTTGTTCTGTTAAGGCCTTCAACTGATTAGATGAGGCCCACCCACACAATACTTTACTAAGTATTCACCCACTTAAATATTAATTTCACTCAAACAAACACAGAAATATCTAGAATAAGTTTTGACCAACTATCTGGACATTATGGCCCAATCTAATTGACATATAAAATTAATCACTAGAGTAACTGTTGTGGCAAGATTTTGTTGGCCTGCATGCAATCAACAACATTCATGTTAGGAATCGTCTCTTGAATAGCAGCTGGATTTAAATTTTCAGAGTGTAGTTGGATAAGATCAGCTTTTAAAAAATCCTCAAAACTACAGTAATGGAAAGAATTGTATGAATTCAGTTTTTTCCCATTTCCTCATTTGAAAATTATGTTTCTTGTGAAATACTATAAACACAAAGTACTAAGAAAAATTTAACTAACACTATGATGTAGGAAATGTTAGACCTATTCTGCAGATGTGTTGAATGTTAACAGCCATATTTACTTTATCTCTAGTTTTTAAAATAAAATATGACAGACAGCATTAAGGTCCCTGTGTTACTGCTTTCTGTATTCCATGTCCTCCTCTCTGGCAATGGTAAACCACTCTTCTGAGGCTGCTTCTCATCCATATTCTATACTATAAATATATAAACAGAGTCTGCCAAAAAAATGTATACACACTTCAGGAAAAGAAAAACTTGTATAAATATTTCAGTATTAAATTTATTGAGACATCATGAGATTAATATAAGTTACTTTGGGCCTCTGCAGTTATAAAAGGTGCTCA